TTTTATATGTTAAGGACCCACAGAGCGATGTATGTGGTTCCAGAATGTGCATGGCCCAAACGGTGAGTAGTCCCACAATGGCCTCCTTTGGGCTCATTTGGAATCATTGGGGGCAATGTCAAGGCCGCACAATAAGGCCCCCACTGAAGCCACAGGGGACAGTCTACTGTGGACTGTGGGCTCCGCTCTGCTGTGCTTACAGAGATTTGCAGTAATGAATGAGATTCTTTTCCCCCAGCACAAAAAAATGCTTATAAAATCATAACTGTCATCAGTGAATGTTTGCTTGATAGCCTGCAACGCATCCTTCATCACCACCTCCAGGCCCAAGCTCAGGCTTTTTAGACAGTAACATGAGGAACTGTAACACAGACCAGAGTCACAGTCCGTGATCAATGGTGAGAGAAGCAGACAGATGACAGACGTAATGATCGGCTGACAAGCAGATAAACCAGATGGATATGGAGATGACTTTGGAGCAGCAGAGACAACACGTCAGGCCTACGTAGCAGATGGACCACCATGAAGTGCAAGGCCAGAATCAATGTGTTCTCAGGGCTTCCTCCTCCTCCTCCTCCTCCTCCTCCTCCTCCTCCTCCTCCTCCTCCTCCTCCTCATCCCATTCTCCACCACAGTTAATGAGCACCTGCTTGACAACAATTCAACTTATTCAGACAGTTTTATGTTTGTACTGTACTGCACATCGACCCAGATATAGAAGTCGGCAGCGATGGACATTGCCCACGCAATTTTATACTCTGCGCCTTTTCAATCTGCCAATAATGAATCTTCTATTGTGACGCTTAGCTCTATATTTACTCATTTAACTTGAACTTGTCTGCGACCACCTAAACCTGGTTGTCTGGTCTGCTTGTGGCATTGCATCCTGCTGATATCTCTGATATTTACTTTTCTTACTTTTCTGTCAAAGCACTTTGAAAACTCTGTTTTTAAAAAGTGCTACATGAATAAAGTGTATTATTTTATTATTATATTCTTAAAAACCTGGAAAAACACTCAATCTAAGTCCACTAAGCCCACTTCAAATTTCTAATTGCCCCCCTTATCTGAGCAGTGTAGATCCTGCTGCACATTCTGACAGGAGGGTTGGAGAGTTAAGTAGAATAAAATACAGACAGTCTACATATTTCATACAGTCAGGACATTTACACAAGCAAAAACCTCCGGTTTAAAAGACAATAATACAATGTGATCGGGATTTCTTTTATCTGAATCCAGTGCTACACCTTAAGGAACTGACAAATCTGCAGAAAAGGTGTGATGTCATCGTGTTTTAATCCAATCATTTGAGAGTTTCATATAAGGGTCTGCATTAAAAGACAGCAAGGAGGTAATGTAAGTGGTAAAACCCATTAAGTGCCTTATAAATGAATGTGAGGGCCGACCAACCTCAGTATTCAGCTCACAATCATGAGTATTGTCATTTTTAAGCTGAAACATGTATATGAAAAATGATAGATTGCTACAGTGCAGAGGAAAACGTGTTTTATTCTCATATTTCTCATATTCTCAAAGGGTTAGAGACATATTTAACAGCTAGCGTCACCTCTCAATACCCCGACTCCCCCAATCTTTCAGTATCTGTACCACATAGATGGAAGGACATGAAAGTCTGGGAATACAGCAGAGCGGATAGGCAGTGATATGATGCGTCATCATCTGTCAGCTGACTTGGCGACAGACAGCTGGGTGCGGGGTAGTTGATATACGACGGGCGACAGATCTGCTCTCTGTTGGCAGGCCTGGGCCACAGAGGGATGAGGTGTGCTGTCAGTACTGCACCAGGCTCGCTGGCTGACGTGTTGGCACTCTGCTTCTTTTTTTTTTCAACCAGCTGACTGTAAGGGGAGTGCAGGTCATATGTGATGAAATCAGACAAATATCAGCTGTAATGGTGGTGACACGACTGTATGTGTATATGTACCAACATGCACGGTGCAAAAAAACCAACACATGATGCACATACATGCACATTTCATCCTCCTGCTTCTTTCTGTTTTTGCTGCTTGGTGCTTGAGCATAAAAATGTGGCTTCTTACAGCCATGAACAAGTGACTGTGCTTTTGCTCTGTCAGTTTTAAACACACATCTGGCCTCAGATCAGTTCAAATTAAATCTTATTTTTACTACTCATTATTTTATTATTTCATTAAAGATTCTTGAATTGCACTGTGAGGTCAAATTACATTTGGGCACATAGTGAAGCATGTTATGACAACGCACTGTGGTTTTGTTTTCTTTGAAGATCAACTGTCAGTTTCCACTCATGTTTTTCTTCTGCACCAAGAAGATTAGGTTTTTATCCCCAAAAATGTGTTTGTTATTTTCCATAAAAAACTGTAGAACAGAAAGATGGAAAGATGACACATTCAAATTTTGCATGGATCTAGACAAGAGGACATAATGTGATACTTAATAAGGGGACAGAGGACAGTTAGTATTCATGTTTTGTTCTCTCCAATCTACAAATGTATCTGAGGTTGTAGCCGTATATAATTTACCAACTCATCACCAATACATCTCCAGAATTTGACTGAAATTATAGGCTCTGTATATTATCCACAGAACCTTTAAGTATGGATTATGAACTTATTTTTTTTTATTTTTTTTATTTAAGTGATTATTATTGCTTTAATGTCTCATACAGTTGCATTTTCTTTAACATTGCAAAATATGGCAATATTTTAGGGGCTTGTATTTATGACTGTGTGCAATTTGGTGATAATACAAATAAAAATCTATATCTGGCTGGATTTCATAAGAGGACCGTTGAGCTTTGGTAGAGGCCATTTAATCGTATGTAAATTGAAATCACTTTGAATTGTCTTGTTATTGAAAAGTGATCTTCAAATGACCTCTCAGACCTTCCTGTCTCCCTCAGTGAACAGGTAGATACATTAAATTAAGGCTAATAAATAGTAATATTTGCATTATCGTATTTCAGGTGAATGACGCTCTCACCCAGAACAACTAGGAGTGATTGACAGTGTGTAATTACCATAATCAGGGATTAATAAGGGACATTTACAATATGTAAATGAGTGTTCCTCACACTCACCAAGTGTAAAAATATAAATAAATGTTCCTTAAATACCAGAATCTGGCCTGTGGCAGAGAAAACGATGGTGGAACAACAGCTGAGAACTGGGATGGGGTGGGATGAGGGGCTGTTATTTCTATTTTCACGTAAGAAGTGTGAATTACTTGTGGGGGAAGCTGGAGCAGAGCAGCACAGCAGAGATGGTGTAATGTGGATCCTGAAATACAGTAGAGCCTCGGAGTCTGAAGTAAAATGTCTGCAGGGTTTGTTTTGGTTTCACTCCCACTGTTCATCTGCCACAAACATCACTCGAGAGCTACATGAACTCTAACAACAGAACTGGTGTCATGGAGTGAGGTATCACGCTCATGTAAACTCAGCTCTGGAACCTCTGCTTCCAAAGGTTAAAAGCGGCTTACGTAAGGTCCCATGTGAGACCTGCGGACGTGGATGTTCTGGAAGTCTGAGGTATGAGCATCTATGAATCCCAGAAGGTCACGACCTTTAGATACAGTACGCGTCAGTGCAAGGTGATGTTACACCAGAGTGACAGCTCCGCCATGTGGGAGCTCCTCTGGCACACTGCGTTTCAACAGGATTATTGATTTCAACAGAATATAACAGAGGTGTAAGGGCTGTGTAAGTTGTGCAGGATTGTGACCTTGTTTCCACTGTGTTTATGTGCCATGTGTAAAGCTGCTGTGATGCAGTTTCCTCCACTGGATATATCAATACTAGTTTAATATAATTTGTGTAATGTAAAAAAATAAGAAATTACAAAAACATTTTGATACGATATAATAATGAAAAAATATGAGGCTTGAATCTGCGAGTTTTATTTTTTAAGTTTACCGTGTGTGCTCATATTGACAGCTGATTGGTTTCTCTCCATTTTAAGGTCTTGACCCATTTAAGATTATGTATGTTGTGATATGACACAGATGAATCACCTTTTGGTGAGTACCCAAAATACTAATATTTATGAATCTGTTAAAAGATGTTTCCAAAAGACCAGTTATTTTTAAATAACATAAATCTCCTCCCTGTATATTTATTATATCATATAATGTGAGTTCAGTCACACCAGTCTCTTCATAATAATTTATGATCATATTCCTTCAAAAGTAAATCCAAGTCCAAACAGGCAGACCTGTGTAAATACTGTTTTAACCATGTGAGATGTCAGCTATCAGTTGCACAGCACCACCTAGTGGTCCTTAAAATGTACACGTCGCATACAGCTGATGCACTCAACAGTTACGTTTTTTAATCTTTTATTATTTTTGTGAGTTTTCCAATTACATAAAAAAAGAAAAGAAACACTTATAAAAGCAGATTTGAACCTAGGTACAACATATGAGGAGTTAAATCCCAAACAATATATCCATTAAGAAAATAATAGGCTTACTTATAACTTGGCTTACTGCTAAAGTTATGAGTCATTTGAACGCCACTGCACCACTTCTGTTTTTTTAAATATCAAGTCAGGAGGTTTTGTACATTTTCAAAATTGATATCTTGTGGAATTAAACCTTTCTCATATTTGAGAGACCTAAAAACAGGAAATTACACGGTACAGTAACAATCATTAAAAGGAACCACAACCTTGAAACGTGTTAGCCATGTGGTTATGACAGATACATGTTAGCATTGAGTAAAAAGAGTATACAATACAGAATCCTCAGGGCAAACAGGTACTTTTTTTTCTAAGGGTGTCAACAAATACCCAGAACAGCTTAAGACCCGCTCCTCTCCACTGAGCTTCAAGATTTCAGATTAACTATCTCCATCTCAGTCGTATCAAAAGGGTTGTTATCATACATGGGATGAGTCATTTTCTGAAAAGGTCCTGAGGTTTCTTACCTGCCAGACTGAAAGAATATATAACCTCAGCTCAAGACTACTGTTTCTTAGAAGAATTAATCATACTAACACAAGAGCTCTCCCAGGACCTGTACAGAAAATGTTTTAGCATAAAATTACTACAATTCTTTTATTTTCTGGATCCACATAGAGGCACAGCAACAAAGGGAACTGTGACAGAACAAATGTCTCCTGGAGATTTTCTACAAAACCACATTCTCTTTAATTTGTTGTCTCAACATTTCCAATTCAATGCTCACATTTGGGGAAAGTTTATCTTCAACAGGAATTATAAAAGCTGGGGGATTGAGTAAGATATTTCTGTCTTTGGGCCCAGTTGAAAAAGGCTTGGAGCTACGCAGTGCACTGTAGAGGTGGGGGACGAGGAGGCGGAGGGGTGAGGAGGATGATGAAGAGGTGAAGACCATTAACCATGGGTGGTGTCGTCCTCCACAAAGTCTTTGGCCTGCTCTGCTGTGATCACATCAATGTGACTCACCTAAAAAACAAAAGACACAAACTGTTAATGACCAAACTTCTAAACTTTGAATCGCTCTGACGAAGCAGTGTTGACTTGTTTTCTGAAACATCCAAAATTTTCTTTTCAGTGAGGCCGTTCAGCAGAAAACAAACCTGGTCGACATGAGGAAATGTTAATGAGTGAATTAAGGAGAATGAACTGAAAACAACATTAAGAGCAAAGAGGGGAAATACTGAAAACTGGGGTGGGTTTCAGTCTGTTCACTGCCAAACTTCATTTATAGAAAACAATGACCTAACTGTGAACAAGAAGTTCCTCATGAATTCTTGCTCCTAACACCAAATTAATGTTTTGTTCTTAACCTCAGAGGCAGGGGAACATTTATTTAATGCCTTGCTCTAGGACAAACCAGTCGGTCAGAAGTATAAACACATTAACCGTGAGGGCAGTCTCACTTTGACACTGTGCTGACCAAAAAAGGTCTGGTTTTATACAGAATAAATCTGAATAACACTTGTTCACTACTATTACAAAACACAGACACATGCTTAATATTAACGAGCAAGTGAACATCACAAAAACAATGCAGATCATTGTGGATCCAGGAAAACCACAGTTAAACTGTCATTTCTCCACACAAATGGTGGGAAACATGTCAATGATCAAATTCCTATGAATCCTCACCACAATGAATGGTCCATTAATACCTCATACCAGCTCAATCACAAGGAGACAGATCTTCATATGTCACGTAACAGTCAAGGGCTTCGTGACTGATTGGAACACGTCTCTAGATGCGTCTCATGTGACCACTTGTGATCTGATCTTTCTTTCCCACTTAATATGCAGGTAAGCACGTACATTATTGCTGCGTGCCAACACCAAATGTGTTGCTTTAAGCCAAATATACAGATGGGTCTGTTTCTGTGTGAGAGTGAGTCAGAAAGAATGAGACCATATGCGTCTCAGACCACCTTTAAATGAGGTCTCAGTTGTCACATCACAAATGACTCCTCAATGCATCTTGGGAATGTTAATGCCAGGTTTGAGCAGGGCCTTTCAGAATGATGAATAGCTTTTACCCCTGGAGCTGTTGCCCCATCACCCGCTGTTAATATTATGGAATTCATTTGCAATTAACAAATCCCATCAAGTGAAATTAAACTTGAACGACATTTGATAATAGAAAATCTGCCCTCAAGCAGAAAACTCACCTTGTTTCTGAATTTCACACCGTAGAACTTGTCGGCGGACTCAAGCAGCTCAGGCCTGAAAGTGGTGGTAATGAACTGGGCGTGGCCTGCCAGTTCCACAATCATGTCTAAAATGCATACAAAATAAGTTAATAAGAGATCAGTCTAAATTTTCTATTAATTCACTTGTGGAAACATTTAAAAATAAAATTATAATGTATAATCAAGTCTAACCCAAATTGCTGCCATGATTTCCAAATCATCGGTAGGACATATGCTAAGTTGTATGATTTACTGTTGCTCTGCGGTTTAGTCTATAATAAACTCTACACATTTCTATTTTATTACTTCTCAGAGCAATTCATGTATATTAGAGATTCACTTGTTTCTTTACATATTTTTTATGCTGCACTTTACCTGAGACGGCCTTTCTGTGCTGGGCGTCGAGGGCCTGGTCGATCTCATCAAACAGGTAGAAAGGGGCGGGGTCACACTTCTGGATGGCAAATATCAGAGCCAGAGCCACCAGAGATTTCTGACCTCCAGACAGCTGCTGCATCTCTCTCATCTCACCCTGTTTCCCTGTGAACGACACCTACACATGACAAAGACACAGAGATTAGATTCATAATAGGAAAAACAAACAACTGAAAGACAAAGAGACTAAATGCCTCTGTTTCTTTTGGAAATCTTTGATAATGATTAAGATGAATTCAGACTGAGGAGAATCATGTATTTCTCATTGCATGTCCAACTTCTCCTGTGGCCAATACTCCAGAAATACACATTCACATGTTTCTAGGTTTAATTTTTTTTTTAATGCACTGGGAAGAGAAGAACAAATGGAGAAATTCTGATGCTTTTCAGAAATGTTTAGGACTTAAAAACTGAATCAAGAGTCGATTATGAATTCAACACTTCGCCACCGATTAAAACAATATAATAATAATAATAAACATTAAGAAATCATTGCAAAGAACAGTCAAAAGACATTAAATAAATAACTGAAGAAAAGACTCATACCCTGATGCCGACTCCGGTGAACTGGTCTACTGATGGAACGCTGCTCTGTGAACCAGAGCCCCTCTCGCTGTCTGCACCGCCCTCTCCCTCATCTTGAGACTGGCTTCCTTCAGCATCGCCCTTCTTCATCACCAGTGTAGCTTTTCCTCCGGGCACCAGCTTCTGGAAAACTTCACTGAAGTTCTTTGACACCTATCGGAGAGAGACGTACCAAGAGGAGGTACAAAATGATTATTATTCAGGTTTACAGGTTATTAAGTGAGGCCACACATGTGCAATATTTAGCGTGGCTCCAAGATTTTAACTATTGACAAACTATCTCCCCTACGTCCAAAAAATCCAAGTCTGTCAATGGATGTATGTCCATGTGGACACTTTGGACAGACTCTGACTTGCTGCCTACCTGTTTGAAGGTGAGCTGGATGGCCTCGTACTTTCGCAGCTCCAGGACGTTCATGAGCTCCATGATGGATTTGTAGCCACGGTCCAGCTCGTCTTGACGCTTGATCAGTTTTTCCTTCTGCTCAGAGAAGTTGACAAACTGGTCCAAAGCTTTCTTGTTGACGTGACTGTACTTTTTCAGCTCTGTGTTGCACTGCTCCAGTTTTCTGAACAACTGTTGAAAGGAATAAAGGGAAGAATTTAATCACTGTGAGCTCCGGGTGAAGTCAGGCTGACACTCTTTATCTTTAAAATTATCTGACACTCTTTATCTTTAAAATTATCCAAACATTAGTATTTTAATCAATCTTATGAAGAGTAGATACAATGATTATACATTGATTCCATTCCATCTATATTAAGACAACAGCCCATCGTAGACGAACAGAACACTTGAAATGTCTGCATCACAAAATCAAATGTGAGGGAAACAGAGACATGAGATGCAAACTGAGGGCAGCACAATGCCAGATAGTGTGAGGATGTGGATTGTCTCAGCTCCTGAATTTAGCTGACAGCGCTGTCAGCAGCCAGGCAGGAGAAAAACTCAAGTTAGAATTTACAACTGAGCAATAACCAAAACCAACTTTTACTTTCTTTGACAGTGTTCATCATCTGGGATGTGAAAATATCACATTTTGACAAAAATGTGCAGGAGGCTTCACAGACACTACTTATGTAGGAGAGTAAATTATACATCTGTCTTGCTTCAAGATAAAGTGTATTGAATCAAATAAAGATCCACAATAGCTGAACTGAGTCGTGGGGCAGCTCTACTGTACTGCCAGCAAATATCGCTCAAATTATTAGAGGTGAAAAGATAAGTTGTATAACAGATAATTAATTTATACCTAACAAAAACTAATTAGACCAATTTATTAATCATTTGAGTGATTTCATTTTCTGGTACTAGACATGACAACAAATCAATATAAGGAGAAATTTAATCAGTAATATAGTTGCTGCTCTACAATTTTCATGATCATTCAGAGATTTTTTTTTTTACCAGAATTAGAGGAAACTTCCGCCAACAAAACTGCAAACCATTTCGACAAAGTTTTACACCACTTGAGAGAAGTAAGCCTGCTTTACTGCTAAGGGTGTTCCGATCCGGATTTTTGGGGGTCATCATCGATCACTTCAATTAGTATTTGTCAATACAGATAGCGATCATTTGTTTATGCCTGATTAACATCTTTGGTGATCCAAGTGACCACTTATAAAAATGTGTCTTCCACGCTCTATATGCAAATAAATACTACAGGGCTGAATCCTACTCAGAATTTTGTCAGTAAATTTCCATTATTGCTGTCAAGTTGTTCCTTTTTTCCATTTCAGCACCACATTAAACTCCTGTCTGTGTCACCTGTTTCACCTACGCTGTCAGCAGCTGCAGGAGTGACGCTGTGCAGGATTTTATAACTGAACTATATAAGCAGGGCACACACTTAAACTTTCTCTGACTGTTTGGAAATCTGATGTCTTCACATCACAGGTAGATGACGAAGAAAGGCATTAATACCAGAGAAAGGAGAAATTTTGTGTCCACTTGAGATCAAATCCCTCACTCTATATGCAAATAAACACATACATCACCCGTTTCCGAAGAAGTAATGTGTTCGAAAAAGGAGGAAATGCAACACTACTGAGCCAACATTCACACAGAGGTTTTTACATGGATAAAGAAATTACTTCATGTATAATGGTCAGTGGCCGATCAATTCAGTAATATGGCTGAGATTTTTTTTAAGAACCCTTAATTACTGCATTCATTGATACCATTAGGACATGTATTCATTATGCATCCATTATGCATTTCAGAGCATTTGAAAGTGCTTTTCCACATTCTATTCAAATCAGACGATTACATGAGCTGATTAACCGCTGGGTCAAATGTGACACATTCTCCAAACTCTCTCAATCAGTAATGACCAGGGGACATTGTTTCATGTTCCTCTCATCCACTCCTGCAATCAGTGGCACCATCTTGCCCCTGGGCAGCATCTTGTGAAGAGAGATTAACTATATTGAGTGTTTATGAGAAAGTATGCGGCTATTTTCAGCATTTCAAGGAGAGGAATTGACACACATATTCAATGTATACACACACTCAGACACTTATGAAAGCTGCAGCTAAGTTCACTCAACATTCTGTGAGTCTGTGCTCCCAGTGGCAGTGGGCTGAAAATAACCCAGAGACAAAACTCAAACTAGTGTCTGAGTCACAGGTGAGTGGGTGAGATGTGATGTGTTGGCCTTGGGGCTTATTCCTTAGGAGCCTTTGGTCTATCTGTGTGTATGTGAATGCACTCGTAAGTGTGACTGAGGTAAATAAAGGAAATCAATCCTCAGTGTATGTGTGTGTGTGTATGTATATATATATATATATACCTTGTTATTGTTAGTGCTGCTGCTGTTGTGACTTTAGAGTCAATGTGAACTCAAACAGTTTATCTAGGGTCATGTAGATGTGGTAACACCAGGACAACACAGCTTCAAGTTTACACAGTGGAAATCAGAGGTGGTTTTCCAAGCTTCAACAATCATTTTCCTTCATAGCACTAGGGCCTGTTTGATGCCTGTTTTCCAATAATTACCAAGAATGTGGTGGCTGACCTTAATCGAACTTGTCGTTACTGGGTTTCATAATGATCCAAACTTTTTTACACTTATCAAAATAACATGAGACACCACTAACTGGGTGCTTTGTGCCGTTGCTCCACTGTACAGCTGAGTTGTTGAGCTGTCGCTCTCTTTTCCTCCCTCTCACAAACACATTGACCAGTCTGTCATTGTCAGACTGGCCATTAGCAGCACCGGGGGAGAAATCCTGCCCCTCCGGTGGGCCATCAAAAAAATCTATAAAGTTTTTACTATCCTCGGAAGGTAGACAGACCTTGGAATAACACGGGTAGTTTTTTTTTTTGGTTTAGCCGCACACATTCCCATGACACGTGAAGAGTGAGGGGGGCAGACATCAGAATAACAGCTGTGTACCTGCCACTTGGATATGCCTGAGAGTGAATATATTCAGAATAATCAACCCTCATCCTTACTGACCTGCACCATAAAAAGTTAGGGCACAGCATACGAGAGAAATGAGATAATTGACAATTGGACCTAAATTATTTAACGACACCACAACATGACTCTGTGTCTGCTGATTTTGTACATAAGCATCTGTTTGCTAGCAATTTCACTTTATCGACTTTATAATTCAATAATATGTGAAAGCTCTGTTTACAGTTTGTTCTGCAGCCCAAGAAGCACAAAAAAACACTCAAATCATTTGTTGCTGCCTTAACACCTGATATTCTAACCTTTAAAGGAGATAGTTTGGTCAATAAGAAGATAATATCAACTGCAATACACACAGATCAGCCACATGAGTGGTGGGTCACTGTGCAAAATGTATATAACTGAATGACTGGGTGCACAATGTTATATAGATGGACAGGTCAAATTAACATCCCATCAGTACCCAGCAAAACATAACCCAGAGCATCGGTAGGTACGGACCACTGCACACTGGGAACACCTCACAATAACCCGCTGTTTTAAAGATGATCTGACCCAGTCATCTAGCCATTAGTATGTGACCTTTGTCAGACTCACTCAAATTCTAACACTTGCCCACTTAACCTGACCTGCTGTTTTTATGTCCCACCGCCTGGCAGGTTCCGCTGTAATGACATAATTAATATTGATCACTTCAACGGACAGGGGTTTTAACGTTGTGGCCGTTAAGTTTATAGATCCACATTTAATAACAACATGGTACCATTGAACAATGCCACTGATGCTGGTAAAGACATTTAACTTAAAAAGTGGGAGGCCCAGATGTATCATCTCTAAGCACCGTCTATACCTGTTTGAGTGTGAGGGTCTGGTACTTCTCAAAGGCCTCTTGAGGAAGTGAACCAAGCTCTCTGATCTTCTTCATGCATTCCTCTTTCTTCTTGAGCAGCATGCCTTGTCTGTTGGTCATTTTCTCCAGCTCCTTGGTGTCATGGTTGATGGCATCATTCTGCTCCTTCTCTATGTTCTTCCAGCGCTCCATGCTCTTTATGTGGTCCTTGATCTCTGCCTCGGTCTTGTCAACAAGGGAATCCAGATCTGGGGGAGACATTGGAGGAGATGATAAGGTTGGTGCAGTGCGATGGGTTTCAACCCACATGAGGTATTGTTGCACACATATAATGTATAATATAATATAAAGTCCCTTGTAAAAAAATAATTCATACTCAGACTGGATTCTCAAGTGAGTGAAATGTATTTCTTCTCACTTCTACAACTCCTGAAAAAGATTTTCATATTTTTCACAGGCACAGGCAAGTTCTCAATTTGGACAAATATCCTTCATCCACAACAGACTAATGTAGAGGCTACTTGTCAAACTTTATAGAGACAGAGACAAAAGATAATTTTATTATTCACTGAGTCATAAATAGAAATTTGAAATGTTGAGATCTTAGAATTGAAGAATGAGACTGTGAATGCGTCTTAGTTAGTGACAATGATTAAATATGGATCTGCGAAAAAAAAATTATATTCAGGGACAAGTGCTTTCTGACAACTGCAGTCTATCAAATCTCATCTGAGTCATAGCACCACCAGAACAATTATACAACTGAGGAACCAGGCTCTGGTGTGCGTGTGTGTGTACGATTAATAGAGTTTGAGATTTTTTCCATAGAGGATTCTGGTGCATGATGCAGTGTAGGTCAATGTAAATTGATCCGTTGACGTTGAAAAACACTGGAAGACCTTGGGCACAAAACTTATTATAATTATTTAAAATAACAACAAAAAAACATTTTAGAGAATGATCATACTGTTTGTCCTTCTTCCTGCCAAAGCATTGAAATTGATATTGCATTTAGTCATTCTTTATATACACATGCCTCAATGGCATAATGTGTTTTAGAGTTTAAATAAACATCTCCACACATGCTTGGATATTTTGACATTTAGATGAGGCACAGAAGTACCAATGGGAACTCACACTAACGTGGGAATAAAGGAGAAATGTGTGAATATTTTAACATTTTCCAACTTGTGTAAATCCGAGGGTTAGTTGACTTCCTGGCCACAAGCTGACTCCCCAAAAGACTACCACCACCTCCCTGTTGCTTCTTTAGTACTCTACATACCTTCAGATCGGGCCAAAGTGTCTTTGACACGTTTGTTGATGCCGTCCAGCTCAGATGTTGTGGCTGTGAGCACTGTGCCACCTTCAGTCTCCCGCAGCTCATTCAGTTCCTGTGTCAATGAAAATTAAGCCAAATAAAAAAAGATGGTCATGCAAATTAAAATCTAATCCCTCTTCTAATTTGTATGAATGAACACATTACATCACCAGAGTCATCAAACGGCTGTAAAAAATGTGTTTTAAACTTTCCCATTACACAAGTAATGATGCATCATTTATTAGATAAGGAAGTTAAAAATATCAAAATAGTAGTTTTACATAGTCTTTCATTATGTGATAGAAGAATATTTGGCATGAGCCATACAATGAGATATATGACAGTTTCAAGGGACAGCATACCTGCTCCACTTGGTCAAGACGTTTCCGCAAGTTCTCGTTGAGATATGTTTCCACTCTGGTCATGATGCCCTCAAGCTTGATCCTCTCATTCAACAGCTGTCTGTTATCCTGTGGTTGGGCAAAGAGATCAACACAAAAAGTTTAGACCCATTAGGTTTTTGCCAGGTGACGACAAATCAGTTAATAGTAATTGGCGACTTAATGTTACAATGTGTCACGAGAACACAATTCTTGCTATTATCTGCTACATCTGTATTTATCTCTGGACAACATATAAGGACACTCGTAACTATAAAGTCTCAACAGAATCCCATTTGTGCATTTATTTATGTCCACACATTTTTTGTAATATCTAAAGCAACTGCCAGCACTGCAGCACCAAACATGAAAAGCTCCATGTGCAGGGGCGGAGCTGTTGCGCAACAATTGCGGGAAAAGCTGAGAGTTCACTGAGGTGAGAGATGAGAGCAGCTGGCAGCGGGAGAGAGAAAGGAGAGGATAGCGCTGGATCACAGGAACATCCCACACACAGCTGCTGCCTGCTACTCTCACCTCAATCAGGTCATTTGAATACACAAGCAGGAGGCAGCGAGGGAGGGGAAACAGCAAAACAAAATGTGGGTAACAGGAGTTTTCTTTGATCTAAATATAACTGTCTCAATTCATTCACCACATGGTAGATGAATACAAAAACTGTTAATTGTGGGTCAATGTAATTGAGTTTCTTCCCATTCTAAGATAAATGCTTTTTTCATGCAAATTTCAAAATCTGAATTAATACTTTAATCTTGGGGAACATATAATAAGTAATAATTTTACATAATAAAAATGGTAAATGAACTAAGATAACACTGTCATCAATTTTGAATCCAAACATTAAAAGAGGATTAACTCTTGACTTTAATAATGACAGTGACAGTGCATATTAAATGAAAAATGTACAGTGAATGTTTCTGGGAATGGAAAACACTAATGTCTGAAAATAACATAATGTAAAATCTCTCTAAAAATAGACGTATAAATAATAAATATATCAACTGTGCGAACAACAGGTGAAAACACCCACAGGTAGCCATTTACTTGCTGGTTTTAACTGAATGGAGTTTAGTGAGCAGTAACTCACTGTACTAGACAAAATATATTCTCTTTTTTTTTTACTTAATTCAATAAAGACCCATAATGCCAAATCTGTGACTGTCAGTTATTTCAAAGCACGACAAACTGTGCCAGAGATCCTATGTGTCTTGCCCGTCCTCCTCCTGACCTGCTGGAGCTGACGGATCTCATCATTGAGGTCATCGACGCGCCTCTGGTCCTCCAGGCTGAGTTGAGAAAGCAGATCTGTGCCGAGCTCAGCCTTCAGTGACTCCCTTGTGGACTCCATGGCATGGAGACTGGCCTCCAGACTTTGAAGACTGCGTTGCTAAAGTAAAAAAAAGGCATCAGTGTTTAGAACAGGCTGAAGCTTGTGTTTAGATCATGCAAAACAATAAGGAATATTCACATCAGTCACGTCTTAACCCATAACCCCTGGGCTTGTATACAAATTTAAATTGTGACGTCAGTTTGTAATCACCTTGGGCATGAACGTTTTCTCTGACTGCTGCCTCTTCTCCTTCAGCATCTTCATCTCTGACAGAATACTGTCTCTAGACGCCTTAAACTTCCTCTGTTGTGTTTCAATCTGCTGCATCTGGTTCATCAGCTGGTCGATCTCGTTGTTGATGCGTGGATGCAGCCGTTAAGGGAATATAATGCTAGTGTTGGGCGAAAATTTACATTTCCCCCCAAAAGTTATTCAGCAAAGTGAATTTTCAAGATGGCAATCAAGATTTTATCTTTTCATACTGCTTCAAGTTTTCCCAATACAACGCAACCAGTGTCTACAGGGCTCCGCTGAACACATCACCTCTGTTACTCTGCCAAACTGTGCGTGTACACAGTGTATTAACCTTACACAAGACCCACACTGCTGCAGTTGTGCATACTGTAAAACAGAAAATCATGGCGCACACACACACAACCTTTTATTGAGGCCACTCTCATTAGCAAATAAAGCCATGGGACAGTGTGTCATCCTTTAGCGCAACTTAAAGGGTTTCAATAATGGGATTGTGCTTCCAAGGGAAGTCATCATTGACATCCAGACATCCAGAGGATTAAAGAGGCTGCATATACACATCATTAAGCTAATTTAACAGACAGGCCTATTGATGTTCCAGGACAGCGACACACCTCTGCTCCTTTGAGGCTTAACTGACTCAATAAAACATAGAGGCCAATCAATCTGCTAATTTAAAAGGGCAACTGGAAGTCAGAGGACTGCTCTGCCTACTGCTCATGGAGAAGGGAAAGAAAATAGATGGTTTAAGACCTATTGATCATTTTCATGAATGGGATCAGCTCACATCAGACCGCTACCAGCACAAAAAGACAACTTTTTTTATAAGAGAAACCAATGTTAATCTCATTGACCACTGCTTCTTATAAATAAAATATTAATCAGGATAATACATTTGATAATCTGAGCAGTTGTGATTCATCAAATCCAAGGCCACTGCATGACCTCAATAGCTTCCCCGCAATATGGTAGTGATGGCAAAAAGAAAACAACCACTTAAAATAGAAGGGATATACGAGGTGCATAATCACATGCTTATCGACAGGGAAGAGGTGGAGAGTGAACAAGAGCCTTTTAAATAATTGATCTGTTCTCTGACTCACCGCTGCTGTGGGGTGGGGGTGGGGGGTCATCAGTCATCCATTTCCCCGGCCTACTCACACATACACGTAATGGCCAGGTGCACACATTCAACTACATACACACACATCTGTGTGAGTGAGAAGGTGCACACAGTCACACAGGTGTGCCAACACAAAAGATAATCATACCTGGCCGGACGTGACTATATCCATAAACATGCCGTACATGCAAACACATCTCCTATGTGATCTGATTGTTTTGCTTTCATGGGCTGTCAACCAGTGAGTCATTGATCCGGCCAATTTACTGAAATCTCTCTTGAGCTGCTTAGACCCTCCCATACATCCAAGTCAGCTCCTGAGGGACCTCTGCAATGCAGATTGATTTAGTCCACATTCAAAATACAGGCTCAGCCATATGACATCAAGTGATGACATTGATGAGAGAAGCACTTACTGCAAGTTCCTAGACAGAGTGGAAAGGTTCTCATGAACTGTACAGTGGCACATATTTTACAAAAAGACAAGATTTGGTTTCTTTCCAACTATGTCTGAAGTTAATAAATTACTATGTCAATATTTCAAAAGAGAGACAGACTAAAACTTTCTGTTTATAATTATAGTGTCCACCAAAGTATTAATGACCCCAAATGGGTTTGTGTCAATAGAAAAGAGTGAAATAAACAGTGGGCAGGTTATGTAATTGGTGTGTGGCTACACACTTACACACCTGTAACACCATCTATCACAGCAAACCTTCTCAAAGAGGAAAAAATATACTGATATATTGAAAGACAGATGGTGATGGTGAAACTTTTAAGGAAACTGCATGACTCACTTCAGTAAACACCTCGTTCAGGACTCAGTGAACAGAAAGTAACTGAATAAAATCACTTTGATCTACAGTGAAATGTGAAACACCTGGCCATCAAGGCCCTTTTAAAAACTCCAAATCACAAATTATTTTACTTTTGCGCTAATCTCCCAGCAGGGTAAATGGAGCTAACATTTCCTTGAGGACATTAATGATGTAACAAAACCCTGATGAGCCAACTAACTATGTTTTATGTAAAAGGATATGTTCAATGTTCCTGCGCAGGTTCTCATTGAGCTTGGCCTCCAGCTCCCCCAACTCCTCCTCAGCCTTCCTCATGTCTTTCTGCAGCTCCAGACGAGACTTTCTGGTGTCATAGTAGCCTCCTGTCAGGGCTCCACGGTGGCTAACCTGGTCACCTGGGAGGTCACAACAAAATGTTCTGTATGTGAGAGATACTGTACAGGGTTTCCCCTACGTTAATTTTGCTCGCTGCTGCTTCATGATCAGGGCAGACATTATGTTGTCTTGTTGACCGTTGCCAAGTAATGCGTCTGGATACAGTGGTGCTGCCACCACCTGTATACTGTTAAAAAAAACTGCAGCACTATTAGGCAGGTCAATGCAAGTTTAACATCAGTAGAGCAGATAGGGGCAGATAGTTTAACATGAAGCATGACTCAGACATAATGGGTAATTACACACAGCTAATACATCAACTTTTACAGTTTAAACTGAAGTTTAGCTACGTATTAATTTCTGATGAAAGTCACGTTAAGATAATACAAATATTGCTGACTCCGTTAATGTAAAAATACACTTGCTGCCAAATAAAAAAAAATATTTCTTAGCAAGAGGTGTGGTGATGGTCTCAGATGTACCTAAATACCAACAGACAGCTCTTCATACATATTTCTTCAAACAGATTCCCGCCAACTCAGTTTTAGTCCGAAAGTCATAAGTGTTATTTGTGAGAGCTGCAACTTCCTTCTATGTTCTAGTGTGACTGATGTAAACTGTACTGTCAATGGATTTTCAGCTTACCCTCCAGAGTTATACAGTCCATGGTGAATGCCCTGGCCAGCTGGGTGGAAACCTCCATGCTGCGACAAATCAGGGTCTTCCCAAACACATGCTTGAAGGCCTTGTCAAAGTTGGTGCTATAGCGCAGTTTGCTGATCATGGGAATGGCATCCTTAAGGAACAAATAAAATATTGGTATAAGCAAATCATTGAATTAAAACCATCTTTTGAATGTTTAATGGTTGAATACAAATTTATTGTAAAATCGGCAAATTGAGGACAAAGACCTAAATGACTATCTTTACTAACTAAAAAAGTACCAGAAACTATTTATGCATGTCCCTTACATTGGTCTCTGGATAAGCTGTGTCCCTGACGTCCAGCTTGGTCAAGGGCAGGAATGTGACTTCTCCTGGCAGGTTCATTTTGTTGAACTCCATCAGAATTTTGGTGCTGACTTCATCAGTCTCCACAATGTGGTAGAACAATCTAGAAAATGAGAGCAGGGCGGGTGTTGTTTTAAAACTCACTTCAGAATCTATATATTGAATGCTGAAGGTTCAGCTTAAGGCACTTGAGTGGACCAAAAAAAGGCATATAGGTCAAGTGTGTGTCTCATCCAGCTTTAAAGGATCAAGCATGCAATCCCAGTCTTATAGTTTGATAAATACACATCCAGACTTGCTGGGGTAAAATCAGACTTTATGTGTTTTATTGCAAAATGTCACTGTAAACATCACAGTGAAGAAGTAAAAAAAAAAAAAAAACAGTCCTCACCTTGTACCGGCAGTCACCTCCACACAGGTATAAAAAGCAGGCTCACACTCAAAGTTATTCATGACTATCCCGTGGTAACCATTGATGACATGCTGGTTGATGCCTTTCCGACGGAAATGCTCAAGGACTTTGTTAATGCTGTCAATGCCATTCAGAATGGCCTAGAAAACAGAAAAACAAGAGCATGTTTTTTAATCCAGTCAAAAATAGCTTAATTTAAACATTTCACACACTAAGTAGCACATAATACAGGAAAAATATAACTCCTTATTATGATTTTTTTGCCCTGATCACAATAGCAGCCATTATCTTGTTCTTATTAAGTAAACATTTTACAGAAGGATTAGTAAACGGATTAAATCATGTGCATAGTTGATACAACTGCATACTGAAGATCACAAAGATAAATATGTTTCTACAAACTGCTTCATTGCTTCAGTAGCTTGAATTGCAAGGGACAGACAAAAAAACTGAAGAAGTAAGCAATTTCTGGATATTGTACAACATGCTTAAATGTAAGGCAGAGGATATTGAGTCCATCAAAGACTTGAGGCAGAATGAGTCACCCAGGTGCAACAAAAAATATATTAATGCAGGACATTTGTCCATAAAGCCACACACAGCCTCCCTTTCATGTCAGCCAGACATTATTCAAAAGTGATATTTGATTGATGTATCTGCCCAGAAGAAACGACCGACAGTTACTGGATGAGGCAGAGAGCAGTGATTCATATGTAAATTCAGCAAGCTGTGATAAGGCAGATGAATGATTACATTTGATGCACCTCTCCTGACAACTGGCTGAATTACAAAGCGATTCTCTCGCAGTATTCCGGTGGGCCCATTTTGGAGAGTGAGGAACTTTTCACTTGGGGTTTGATTCATCTTTACTTTGCTCATTTCCTATCTCACAGTACTTCACTAAGTAAGTCCATATGTGAGATTTTAATAGATGTGTAGCTACAGGAAAGGTTAGTGTGCTTATTGTTCACCAGAGTTAGAGGAGGATAGCTGCACAAGATGATTTAAGTACCATAGTATGTGTGGCATACCCAAGAGCATAATCTTCGTCATGATGACGTAAACCCAGTAGTGTGGGTGGACCAATACAAACCCCTCTGCCATATTGGCTACAGAAGGCTGCTGGGCCCTTGGTTTGTTAACTCTCATTGATTGTGCACTGCCTGGGCGTGGCTTTTCTTTAAACCTTGGCTAAATAGGCCTATCCACAAGGCGATGTGGAGATTTACCCTGAGTTGTGTCAGTGGGTGATGGGATACAGGTTGATGGTCCTGCCCATTGCATTTCTGGGACTCTTTACAGTCTTTTGGTAGTATACTGGGTGCATGTTAAGTGGGTTATCACAATAATCAAATATATAAACCGGCACAGCCAACCACAGTCCTTAGAACAGCAGACAGCTTGTGTACTTTTTTTTTCATCAGAAACAGCAACATGTTGGCATGCTATAGGGTTAGTGTTATGTGCAGTCAAGGGAATGCAGAGATAGCATTTCTCTACAGTGGCCAGCCTTGGGAAGCATATCAGATTAAAACATATCAATACTTTTATGGCCCATTTGCTCTTCTTACTGTAAGTAAACAGTTCAACCGTTCACATCCCTAGTATGTAACTTTGGGAGACTGGTCTTTTGGCACCAGGTCTTTCAAACAATCTTCATCACCGTACAAAGGTCTTCATCAACATCACCACCCTCCTCCAAAGCTGTGAAGCTTGGTAACCTTAAGCCATAATCACTGATGCTAAGATCGACCAGCAACAGCCATTATGGTTCGCGCATGTGGGTAAAGACCCCAATCTGGCTGGCTCACAGCATGCTATATGGTCAGCAACACCATGGACAACAGTCTGCTGGGGGGCAAAGGAAGGATTACAATTAAAGGCAATGTTTTTAAAGAGTGGCACAAGGATGTAGAAGACGCTGTTGGTGACTGAAAAACCTCAAAGGAGCTGTTCTGGATGGGACCCACATGCTGGAGGAGGAATTGATAGCCAGGAAAAAGCAAAGAACACACCCATAGATGCTGCTACCGGAACACACACATATATGTCCAACCAGCAATAAAAGAACGCACTGATAGAAAAACAGAATCAGACGTCATCATCAGATTGGAAGATAATAACTAAGCTTTCAAGTGAGTGTGTTTACAATTTCATTTGAGTCCAGACAGAGGCATTACATTTCCTGTAGATGAGTTATGTAATTCAGTAATTACGCAGTCATGAACAGAGTAACAAACCTTGCCGGTGGCCGCTCGAAGGAGCTGCTGTTTCTTTTCCAGATCCTCGCGTTTGGCTGCCAGGGCCTGCTGCTCTGCGTTCTCCTCACGCCACAGGTAGCTGGACAAACACAGACAGTCACACACTGTTACACTTATGTCACCAGAAACACTGAAACCCAATTACATGATGACATGATGCTCACAGGAGCAGAAGAATAGTCAGCAAGGACAAACACATAAAAAACTAGGACACAATAATGAAATGACTGTGAAGATTTTTGGTGTAAATATTTTGTAGATAAAACAACAGACAACAAAAATCCTTAATTAGATAAAAGTTGCTTTTTGATATGGAAGGTTAAAGTATTTTTTCATTATAGGGAGTTATATAATAATTTGAAATGTTGCTCAGATAATTGAGGAGAAAAACTTTAATGAAATATCAGCTGGTTCATTAAATCACACATTAAAATAATTTTTAATAACTGAGATAGTTAACGATAAAACTCAAACACAAAAGACAATATGCCTGCTGCAAACATTCCTCCTGTTATAAACACACTCCTACATTTGTCTGACATTAGTATATGACTTACGCAGATTTTTGGACAATTGATTCCATCATAAGTTTCGGTTACTGCTCTAAGTATCGTGTAGACTGACCTTGATGCACTTAAGACAGTGTTTTCTGGCTGAGCTGCAGTAAGCAATAACATACACAGAAAGGCGGCTGTGCAACTTCAAATTAATATTTTTATTTCAAACTTTTACCTTGAACGATTATTTTATAACACCTCCCCAATGGGGTGCATCACCTGACGCATTACTCAGTGTAGGTCAACAAGCGACTGTGCTCCTTTTTCTCCTCACTCACACGTCAAAAAGATCTTTATAAAAAAAACCCTGCTGAATTCATAATTATGTTCCCGGATAAACGGGGCATCGCATCTTCTGCAACATTGAAGTTAAAACACTGCGCTGTGTCATAATCTTTGGGTAGTAAACTTCAAGTCCTGTAGCCTTCGTGTCCTAAAAACTTCTATTTAGTGTTGGTATTTATTGTTAACGTGTAATGTGAGGGGAGCTTAGCAGGGGAGCGAGGAGGGAGGACATGCAGCAGTAGGTAGCTGAAACCTGACAGTTGGTGAATGCATGCATTGTGAAAAGTATTCACTGAATAAACCAACATAAGCATAATTAGGTCAGTTCGAGGTTAGAAGCGTCGGTTTCAATACATTTTAGGCTTATTGTCTGGCCCTATCTCTAAACGAACTTGACCCAGACCTAAATTAACTTTAGTCAGACTCTTCAGTTATTGTTTGCAAAAAAAAGCCTGTGTAGTTTGTCTTCCATCACTTACATTAAGAGCTTTAGGACATAATTTTGTTGGCCATTATCTGTAGGAGGAATGATTACAGCAGGCAAACAGTCTCAGTCACACAGTTGCAGGAGACAAATTAGGAACCCGTCCCTTATATTAACATATTGAAACAGCCAAAACCATCTCCCTCTTGTTTCCCTTATGGTAATTTTTATTTGTTCATATTTTTAGATTATACACTGCCAATAGCTTGCAGCTGTGGGGTGTGCATATTGTGCTCCTTCGATTAAAGCAGTCATTATGCTGCCTTTTCACCCATTAGAATAAAACAATAGATCACAGTGGACTGGAGGGTGCGTGACAGATTTAATATGAAATAAACATGACCGTGCTCATGAATTCTGTTTATTAGTTATAATAATTGTCTGTTAAAATTAACAAATGGACACTTGTCTGAAATGCTCTGTTAGTCATGTTTCAATATATATATATATATATATATATATATATATTTTTTTTTTACTACTTTTCAGTTCATCCAGGCTTAAAAACCTTTTACATGTAAAAAAAAAAAGTGTCTGGCAGCAGTGGCCACAGGCATCATCGTCTGTGTTATATAAATAAACCTCATTGTATTAGTGGAAATAGAAGCCCCAGTGACATTCAGAGCAGACAATACCCTCATATGTAACTAAAGGTTACCAACCGGAAATGGTACATTGGCTTAAAAGAGGGTTGAACAATTCCACTTTTTAGCTTAATGCAAGATACAGACAAGTCTCCAGTAAAGATTCATCTGAATGATGTGGTGCTGTATAAATAGATAATACAAATAAAAAGTATGAGCACAGTCAGGGCTGAATTAAATAAATTCAAAGAGAAGGCAAGAGGGTAAAGACAAGGTTCTTACTTTCTTTCACTTTGTAGTTCATCTTTCCTGTTTTTCACCTCATAATACTTTTTGTCCAGCTCCTCCACACGGGTCTTCACCTCATTCAGATCTTGATCGAGTTTCTAAAGAGACAAGGGCAATGTAGGTCAGATTCTCGTTTAGGGGTTAGGGGGTTAGATTAAAGACAAAAAAATCATGCCAATTAGACAAATACAATGTTTCAAGGTACATTTGAAATAATGCAATTACAAATGTTACCATCAAATATGAAAAAAAGTATATTCCCAGTTTTGAGATTTGCTTACATTGTATTGCTCCAGGTTCTTCTCCTTATTAGTCTCTGTGTCTTCCAGGTCTTTGTGAATCGCTGCAATCTGCCTCTTTTTATCATTTATGGCCTGGTCCAGCGATTTCAGCTCCTTCTTGATCCACTTGTCCCTCTCTTCCTTGGAAGTGAACTGGCTGCCACGTCCCTGCTTGGCATAGAGGTCTGTCCTCTCCTGAGTAGCCTGGGCCAGTCTGGCACACAAAAAAGTTTTTTGTAAAAGAAATCAAATACAGCCATAGGGATTCCGTTGAATATTATTTTCCTTGAGAAAGTAAAATACCCGTCAGACTAAGTCATAACTCCACCAGCCTCTGAGTGGGTTGGACAGAAATTTACAAATTATGTTCGGGTCTAGTTAGATCATGTCGGCCAAACAGTTACTCAGCAGCAAAAGTTTTATGTGGAGCTTCAACTTTTGCAAAGTAAAAACTAATACTAAAAATAATAGATGTAATATCTGTTCTGATCTTGGTGTTGGATTTTTGTCTGGGAGAGTAAAGGGGAAGATACTGATGTCTGGGTCAAAGACTTCATGTAGTCAATGGCTGCAAAATACTAAATATTAAACACAATAAAAGATTTTTACCTTTACCCCTACAAATTGGATACTGTGTTTAAACCGATTTATTGTTCATATAGCCCTATGAATATTGACATAAACCTATTCAAACTAAAGCTGAGACTTGGCACTTTAATGTACTATCCATTGTTATATTTCAAAATTAATTTGCTGAAGCTCAGAACCTGAAGACCAACAAATGAAAAACAGACACAACTAAGACTGGAAATATTCTTTTTCATGTGCATCCACCTCTTGAACTCTTGCCATCAAAATGTATTCGAAATGTAATGACTGACTCATCGAGTTAAACCTGGTCACCAACTGCTTGAGGGTTCGTAACTGAGGATGAGTCATCCCTACCTGGAGATACCCCGCTCCTCTTTTTCCTTCACCATGTTGAATTTGGGCTCGGTCTCCTGCAGCTCTTTTTGCTTTTCCTCAATTTTCTCCAGCAGCTTCTGACGCTCCTTTAGCAGGCGTTTCTAGAGGAGCAAGAACATTCTATAAATGTAGAACTTCAGAGGAGGAAGTAAATGAAATGGATGAATCTTTGACAGTGGAAGGATGACAAGCTTATGTAAAGGCGTGATTGACACAGACCGAAAAGACATTCAAACAAAACATTTAGTCTAAATGTCGATATATATTTTCTCGACTTTTTTCCACATTAATCGATTCCTAGTGCATTTTATTTCAATGTTAAGTTCCTGCACATTCTGTGTTGAATTTAAATTTCTACTGCTACTTTTAAGATTTTTCTGTGTGGGTGTCTATGACGGTGCGTTGTCCTATCACAGGTATGAAAACCTCTACTTTTCTCTCTGCGTGTCAAAGCCAACTCAAACCTGATAAAACCAGGACCATCAGCAGCTAGTGACGCAGTTCTGCTTCCCTTGCTATTCATTTTGCTCCAATAACATTTGGCTGATGCTGTGCCAGCCGTAGCCAGGTGGGCTTAATCCAACCACCAGCCAGCATGCTGCCATGGACCCATCACAGTTCACACAGAGACTGAGCCAATAAAGCTGTTTGTGTGATAATCATCTTCAAACTCACGTGCACACGAACATACACTGAATACTAAGCCATACGGACAGTGATCTGTGCCAGCTTATGGCTAAAAAGTCTAATATGCAGCCTGGTGCTTCCTCAGTTTTATCAGTACTCTCTATCTCTTATCCTTGGTCCAGCAAATGTTCTGCTAAAAGACTCAGCACTCAAACTGCACATTACATCTATTTTAGGAGGCAATTAGACTAAAAAACACTTCATTTGTCAGATCTGTGCTTTTTAATGCATTCATATATTTTTATATTATAAGTTCAGCAAGAAATTAATCAGAGCTCTTTTAGTGAATTCATCGTTTACCAAGTACAAGTAAACATCTGCAAGTTACTGTGAAGTGAATAAGATAGGATGTTTTTTCTGTTACTGTTCTATTACTGTTTCTAACAAGGCAGTTGAAAAGAGAAAACCCATCCCTGTCTACATAGAGTGATGATGCAGTGGATGGGGGGAGGGGGAGTGTTCTGGTGCAGCATCACATGTGCAGAGTGACGCAGATGGGAGGCTTCCGTACCCTCTGTTCGCTGTTGCCTGCCAGCTCGTCCTGCAGGTCCTTGGTCTTCAGCTCGAGCTTGGTCCTCTGCTTGATCTGCTCCTGGCGTTCGGCCGACAGCTGCTCTCTCTCCTCCTTCATAGCAGAGATCTTGGACTTCAGCTCCCTCACAACACGCTCCGTCTCCTACAGAAAAGAAGCCAAAATAATGAAACCTGCTGTGACTGTGAATACAACAACTTCCTTCTCCAGTGATTAAATGTCAAGTCATTTATTTACCAGAGACAGGTTCAAGAGAGATGACTGGAATTTGTTCATGTGATGAGCAAAGTTAATTTTAAAATGTAAACTATTCTGGATGACATAAATACACAAAAATTCAATGTAATTATGAATATTGCACTTTTCTACAACTTAAAGTTAAAGTTATTTTCTAAAAGTTAAAGAGATGGATTTAATTGCTCAAAGGTGGAATTCTTTACCTCTACTTTGTCTCTAGCATCTTGCTGAGCATCACGCAGCTGTCGGGATTTGTCTCCACAGGTCTCCCTCTTGGAGGACAACTGCAAAAAAACAACCAAAAAAAAAGAATGTTAAAGAGAAAGACGGTGTGATAAACTATTATTATTATTAATAATCTATTAAAATGGGTAAAATGATGTGAGATACTTTACATCAAAAATGCTTGTGAAGTGGACAAAACAGCAGTTATATCAAAATCAAGTGAAACAGCATTTGTACCATATTGTAATATTCTGACTAGTGGATTCTCGTTGTAGCCACAGAATGTTACCTCATCCAGTTTGGCGCGGGTTTCATTTAGCTCCTGGTTGTAGATGGTGTACTCCAGGGCCCTTCTCATCTTGTCCCACTTCTGGTACTGAGCCAACTCCTCCTTCTCATCCTCCAGGGTGTGCAGACGCTCCTCGATGTACTTCAACAGCTCATTGATCTTCTCTCGTTTACCCTCTGGGGAACACACACACCAAGTTGTTTTTAAAATGGCAAACACAATTCTACTGAACCGACATTACTTCAGGCTAGTAAGGATTTATTGATGAATGCTGTTTTACTTTTACAGTAACCATGTTGCCCCTCATCATGCATGTTACTCATGAAATAACACTATTAAGAAAGTAAAATTGCACTGCAGAATGATCCAACATAAATGTGACATGTTCTCATAAATACAGCCCCCAAATTTATTAACAAAACATTTTTTCTGTCTATTTGCTTTTCATTCAACATGCTGTGTGTCCAAAAAACCAAAACCCCCATTAATGAATGAAAACTAACATTTTAAAGTGGGTGAAGTTTTAAAAAATGATGAAACAATGATGTATCAAAGCTGTTACCTGTCTCCTTCATGAGAGAAATACTCTCCTCCTTGCGCTCATCATACACCCGTGTCCCTGCCACCTCTCGCAGCAGCTTTAAACGCTGGGAATCCGGGGCCGTGGCCATTTGGTTGATCTGAATGAAACATTCATTGCATAAGGAGGAATACCCTGCTGTTTGCTGACCGTTTTTCAGTCAGAAAAATTGCACATTAACTTTAGCAGATTACAATTTTTGATTTTACATCGCATGCCTAAACACCAGAACTTTTTACAGCCCAGTTTGCATACTGCAATACATGACACAACATTGACACACATGTGTTGTGCGTGTGAAGTTGCCACCCACTCCATTCTCACCTTTCCCTGCTTGACGATGTAGTATGGGTTACTGCGGGAGAAGCCAGCACTCTCCAGAAGGTTCATGACATCATTCTTACTGCAACAATAACAGACACCATCAAACAAGTGATTGCATGGGATTACAGAGTTGTAATTTCCGGTGATTACAGGGACTATAACAGTCACCCAGCAGCAATACTTACGTCACCATTTTCTTGTCTAAGAAATATTGGTCCTTCTTGGCGCCAATGACACGGCGAAGGGAGACTTCCTCTTTGTCAATCTGGAAGAAGAGATATTTATCATCAGTCAAGAAGGGAACAGCAAGATTGGCTAGTTGTGCCACAGTACTGCCAGGCTGCATGATTACAGTTTAACAACAGTTCAACCACCCTGTCTTCATCGTCAGAATAATAAGCACAGTGCACTGGAGGCTGCAATATAACCAATGATCACGATAGTCATAGGAAGACTGTAAAATAATAGCACAATAGCACAATATAGTGATGATACCACTTATACTGGCCTGAACTCAGGATGTTGAGGAAAGTTGCCTGACTAAAAGTATTTATTTTTGCTGTAACTAAATAGTTATAGCTTTTCCTCTAATTTACTTAAAATAAATACTAAAATGTAATGACATGTTAGTATAGATAGTATTTATACCATAGACACAGAAGACAGGGTTTTACTTCAGAGGCTTACAAAAAGGTGACAACAATATCAAGTTAAAAGTAATCAGTGTGTTTACAATTAATAGGATCAATATGAAAGTTGTGTTATTCCTACCGGCAGTCGGTTGTCAGAGTTGTCAAATATAATCTCCACAAAAGCAGAAATGACACGTGGACCAGTTCCCTCCTACAGTGACAGGGGAAGAACACACAACATTAGTATGTTTATATTAATGGATTTACATGTTAAAATATGTTTCCCCACAGTTTTTCAAATTGTTACAACACAAACTTCATATTTCAACAAAAAAACACCTAATCCTATCAAGAATTGTATAATCCACTAGTTATTAGGAGGTTACACAAGCTTTTGTTAACAAAAGCATGCATAACAAAAGACATCTGTACAAGCCCCATGCCACAGAGCCACTTTATGGCTGACATTCGAGTTGTGTGCAATATTCGCCTGGACTTACATGGAGCAGGGCCAGACGCTGCTCAGGTCGAAGGTGGCTGAACTCATCACTGAGCACAAACTGAATGGCTATGAAAACAGAGAAGAGCAACAGTTTTAGAAAACAAACAAGGGAAAGTAGCAATGTTTGACTTTTATGTAGAAAATTGAGGCTCACATACCGTAGAAAAAGTTACTTTTTCCTGATCCGTTCCTTCCAACTGGGACAAAAAAAAAGCACAAACGAGGACATTGAGATATGTTCACAGCCAACGATGAGACAAGACCTCCCTCCCATAAATCATTGTGTTATTAAAGCGCTAGGCAACACAACACTAACTAGATAGCAATATGACATATGTTTAATATATGTAGCTATATTGCTTAAGCATTGTGCAAGTGTGATGAGGAGTTATAACTAAATTAACTGTTTTAATGTCCTACTTCAAATTTGTCAGATGTTTTGAAGTTTAGAAAGTGACTGTTATTCTTTGCCTGTAAAAAATAATTTATTCATTAATTCACTCAGAGCCAGTGAAATCCAAAAACCTGTCACCTGTCCGAACCAAAGAATAATGTGACACTAATCAATAAAAATATCTGCTCTTGAGTATCATGACAACATTTTAGGCTACATTACTCAAATAATACAAATGGTGAATTAGAGAGATAGATAGATACTTTATTGATCCCGAAGGAAATTCAAGAAGTGCATGTGTACATATACTAACCGATGACATTGTGCTTTGGACTGAAGGGGTCCACCACAGTTTGGTCCCTGTAACTTCGGAACCCCTGGATGATGACCTGCACAAGAGCAGACACAAAACATTGACTGTAACTTCCTTCTGTTGATTATCGCTAAAACCAGACGATGAAGCCAGACATTGTTGGATGAAAGTATTCCACAAGCAAACCAGGGACCATCCCTGAATGCAGCAACATAACTACCTCTAACTTTTCATACATATTCAACATGTAACCTGTGTGCTAAGTGCAGCATCACATGTATGATGATCGGGACACGGTTCACAGCAGGGCCTTGTCTGACGGTCGCTGTATGAGCTAGTTTTCATCTAGCGGTGTGCACGGTTGCTAGCTAAACCAACCACACACGAGGCAGTCATATTAAAATCAAGTGTTTAGCTATGATACATTAGACTGAAGTGTGGTTTTATATAACGTTTATGATGAAGCGGGACGTATGCTAACTTAACATTAGCCCAGCAGCGTTAGCATGTTAAGAAGGGGGCGGGCAATTCAAGATTAATCCGGGTAGCTCTAGCTAGCATTAGCAAGCTAGCTACTCAACCTTTATCTATGGCATGTTTTTACCTTGCCCTGTGGCCCAGTTAAGGTTACACCGTGAGCAAAACCTCCTCATCCTGGAGACAGTCATTCAGCTGAATAGCGTTATGCTCGCATATTTAGCATCAGGCTAGTGACAGTCGGAAACACTAACAAGTACGACGCTAGCTTACCTGTTTGATGTACATGGCGGTCTAAGCAGGGCGTCTCCTCGGCTGAATTCGGAGTCAAACTCCTCTCTCCGCTGAACTGGAGAAGCCGAGAATTCACTAGTCCGAAACTCAACGATATATTACAAATTGTTGCATGTAAAAATCGGCCAAACACAGTGTGGCAGAGGAGAATAACATGGAAAATGGCGGCGGGGGCGGGATGGAGTGGACGGTACCATTATGTGAAAACGGGGTGATAACAATAAACATATACCAAGTATTTTGTGTTAGTAACTTAACTAAGATAAGATATGATTGTGGAAAACATGTAGTAGATAATTTAAGTATTGAAAACCCCTGGTTTTTGTGTAATTACACGTAAACAACACGTTTGGTACTTACTCTCCTCGCTGTTAGTATAGTTGGTACCGTCCAGTTATCTGCCGCCTGAGCGCCAAACACAGAAAATAGTATAAAACGTCATTTCTACAGAGATCTGCCCTCTGACGAAAAACTATTGATTATGATAACAACCCAACAACATGGTTTATCACACATTAGAAAATAGAATCTAATTCTGTTTCCAATGGGAATTTTTCTTTGCCCATGGTTTGAATTTCCAAAATATAATGCAACATGCATGTTTTCATGGTTTGTAGTTTGCATAGGTTGTACTGGATTACACTCACTTGACAAATATCCTGGGCACATACAGTCTCACTAAAGCTGTAAATACAGGTGGCTGTCTATATAAATCTGCTGGTAAAGGCTATAAGTCACTGCAGGTGTCACTGTTGTCTCCTCTTGTATCCTGGCCTCTCCTGTTCCTGGGAGATGTACAACATAGGCCTGCAGCTGTTATGGACACAGTTTTAAAAGTAGTATTGATTTTCCCTGTTTTCTCTTTACAGGAATAAATGTGCCGAACATTACATGGAATAAATACTCCTGCAATTCCATTAGACTTCCCAGCTGCACATTCACTGAATGCTACAATGATGACTTGACAACAAGCTTATTTTTGTGTTGAAAACATTTATTAAACACATACTCATATCCACATTATTGAAAAAGATCAGACAGACTGCAATTCTTCAAATAAATTAAATTCAAATGCATGTCTTAATTTGTGAATAGGCAAATAAATCACAATACCAACCTAAGGCATGTATATTGCAGTTTATTAGTGTGCTGTGTTGTTTCATCTCTGCAGTTCAGAAGGAAGGAAAACGGCATCAATGGCTGCTGTTGGCCATTCATTTAGTAGGCCTTTTTCAAACAAAGACCCATTGTTAATGTCATCAGGAACAGTTCCTTCTGTTACAAGTCAAAAGTCTGCTGTGAAAAAGGCCTACAGGCCTCAAGTCCCATAAACAGAACGCTATTATCTGACCTCAGTCTATCTACTGGTTTCGACACCAGGCACACAGAGAGCGATACTTTTAACTTTTTCAAGTAAGACTACAAGCAGTCACAGTTCATTTTAAGGCAGTGCAGTTATTGGGCTCAGTTTGAACTGGTGGTGGACTGGGGACTGCAGGTAAGAGGTAGGGAGGGTGATCACGGATGGCTCAAAGTTTTTGCTGTTGAAGGTGGTAGTGAAGTCGTTGGCAAAAAAGGATGCAGACTCCGGGACGCAGGGTGTGGCTGGTTCAGGTGTGGCAGCGTGAGCCGGAGCCATGGAGAGGACTTCGGACTCAAACTGCAGCAGCTGACCCATGAAGCTGAAATTGGGCGAGATGACATCTCTGCGCTGCTTGATGATGTCAAAGGCTGCGTCCAGTCGCAGCTGCTGTGTCCTCATGATGTAGGCCATGCAGATAGTAGGGGAGCGTGAGATGCCTGCTTCGCAGTGGACGAGAACTTTCCCCCCTGATTGCTTCACGTGATCTGGAAGGAGAAGGGGACAAGTCAGCATTAATGACAGGCTGAGATGGAGACAGATTTTTTTCTTTCTCTAACAAGCATCAAATGAATTATTAAAAAAACAATTTGTATAGTTCAGAATCTTGTTATTGTTAATTTGTCAGGTTTTATTTTTGTTGTGTTAGTGTGTGTAATTGATCATTTTAAAGTCAAGTAGTGATGGATGGGTTATGATGAATCTAGAGGGAGTTTTGAACAGTAAACATAGAAAAATGGAAAAATCCCATGATAACTGTATATTTATTCCTGTATACCTTACTCCCTCTCAATAATTAATGTGAACACTTTTTCACATTCTATCTACACACACACACTCACACACACACTACAGGATATATGGACAAACAACAAATCAACCTTCTCAGAGAAACACTTCCTGATATACCAGTTCCAGTTTTGCACACAGGCCCTTGTGAGTCACAGAGCGCAGCTGTACATAAGACTCTCTCTCTCCTACGCTGCTGCGGGGGCGCTGGGTGCTGCTGCAAAGTTCACTGTGGCACAGAGCTGTGAATTCTAATTCAGAGCTTCTGCAGCACTCCTACACACTTATATGGATGTTCTAATATCGACACACAAATCTACTTTCTGTCATCTGCCAATGACACATTTCAAGATTTTGTAAAACTAACCCTTATCACACATGCTTTTTTCTGTGTCTCATGTTTAGGATTGGTCTTCCCACATACACTTAGCTCCACAAAGCTGCAGCACATGTCTCTCTCTCTCTCTCTCTCTCTCTCTCTCCATCACATTGAGGGTCACTTGTGTCTGGTCACGAGAGTCACTGGAGGGCGAACATTGAATATTTCTGACATCTCTGATCGCTGATTATCCACATGAATGAATTATGAATTTCCCATCTGCAGTGGCAGATGCAACAAGATGAAAGAGAGGTTAAAAAAATGGACTGACAGCAGCGGTGGGTGTTTTTAATGACCCTCCTCGAGTCAAGTGATGCGCCCTCATTGGCTGGAGATGTCAGCTCCTGTTTTCATCCAGGGAAGTCAATTATATTTATTATCTCCTGCCCGACTCTACATTTGTCACGAGGTCGGTAAAGGGTGTTGATTGGTGATTGATTTTCATTTGGGGACCAGCAGACGCTCGATGAGAGTTTGTGTCCAGCACTTTTCTAATCACTCGACATGGCAGACAAATTTCTGTGGCCCTCCTTGAAAGGAGACTAAACCTGCCCCTTGAACAATTCACTGCCTTATGTAATGGACAGGTTTGCTCAAAGTCATCCTGATATAGGAATAAAACAATGCACAAAACAAACAACAGCAGCCACCAAATACTGGTCAGCCAAGCTGCTCATGGGCGAGCTTTGTCCTTGGTTATGCCTGACTATAAATAGCTACCAGCACATTGTGTACATCTTTTTCTGCTGCTGCTGCTGCTATTATCCTGCACCCCTCTCCTCTCCCACACACACACACACATACATACACACGCACACACCCTCTTCCTCAGTGACACATTAATTGCCCTCTGACTGCCCTCGGGTAAATCAATGTTTCCCACCTGTAAACAACCATCAACTGTGTTATTCTATTTGTGTCAGTCAACTAGCTTTTATCCTCCACCCCCCCCCATCAAAACAACTCTGAGTGTGTGTGTGTGTCAGCCCCCAACCTCCTCCACCCCGCTATTACTAACCACGGACAACTCACCCAGTTGTCACACTGACTGACCACACCCGGCGGAATAAGCCACTGAGATTAGGCCTGGGAGGCGATGACGGCATGAGAGCGTCTTTTTCAAGTTAAGACGGAAGGGAGGGAGGAAGGGGAAGGGGGAAGTGAGCAAATCCTGAATGAAAGCAGACTGGCTGGATGTGTTGGCTGGTTGGACGTGGGGTGGGGGTGGTGGTGGTGTCAGGGCTGAAAGCAGGCGATCAAGTTAAACTGATTACGGCCGGGTTTCTTTTAGCCCTCTATTTGTGAATGGCAGCATGCGCGAAGCAGCGATGAAGGGGGTTTACATGAGGACGTATCTCAGAAATAAACACATCTATGTTTAGGTGTTTTCTCTGACTCTAGCTCTTGCATTTTTAGGCTCCTGTAGGTGATGTCCCATTATATATATAGTGAAGCTGAACTTCCAGGAAAGGACTTCATCTTGGCGCTGGTGTATTTATTCACCTCTCTAGCTGCAGCGAGCTTGTTATGAATGTAGAGCTGAGTGAATCAGCTACTTATAAGATGACAAAACAGAAAGAACCCATCCTGACACAATATCAACTTTAAAACGAAAACCCTCATCAAGAAAATAACTAAAGCAGTATATCTGACAGGCCCAATGTTTATTCCCTTCAACTCACCGATAAACTCTATGGCCTCCTGGAAGTGGGAGCTGATGTCGGCCATGTGGCTGTCCTCCACAGGGATCCACTTGTAGTCATAGCGGCCCTTGGTGGGCTGCTGGTCCCTGCGTGACACGTTGAGCAAGGCCGTGATGTGAAGGTCGCTGAGATAGTCCTGTCTGGAGGCGTGGTAGGCACTACCGAGGTAGAGGAAAGGCAGGATCTCTACGGGTTTACCCTGAGAGCAGAGAGGGGGGAGAAAACAGAGACATGAGACAAAAGGACAACATACAGCCTCGATGCATCTGGGTCAACCCATCCTCAATGCATCTCTGAGAAAAATGTACCCATAGCCTGAGCCACAACATCCACCCACAAGCAGAACACTATGTTCATCTGCAGACATAAGGTACGTGGATACATGCAGATGGAGGAATTATGGAACCATAACGTGTCTCAGACACAATAAGTGTACTCTGAGGCAGACACACACTTTCTATTTGGGCAGTGGAGGTTATAAAGGAAAGGGCAGAGATGAAAGAGGGTTTTCCTCTCTGGGGTGTCCTGGTGTCAGCTGGGCACCAGTGAGTGATCGCTCCCCCTTTTTGAGCCAAATATAAGATGGCTGGGAAGCTGCGAAGGTCAGAGAATATCATGTGTATGATGAGCAAATGTTTTGATGAGCTTGATCCCAAATATAAATCTCTCTAAGGTCAGCAGGGTTTGGATGTAGGTCTGTTTTCGTTTTTATTGCTTTATGTACGGTTAAAAATAAAAATCTGACAGAGGATGTGTGCACTGT